TTTGAAATTATTCCTTTTGAGAACTGTGAAATACTACATAAATGTTACTTTGAGAGTAATGCAGAAAGATTTAAATTGTTTTTTTCCCTCAACTATTAGGAGCAGTAAAACGTACGAAACTTGCCTACAGCCTTTACGGCCTTATCTTTGTGGGATGTTTGAATTGGCTTTCTTTTTTAGATTTTACATTTCAGGATCCACTATAAAGCTGTCTTATTCACAATAGGTTTCCAGACACTGCCTTCCAACAGTGGTGGATAGCTATATAAACCTGAAAGGAGGGATTCTCTTCCAAGGTAATTGGGAGAGAGGACTCCTCAATGAATTCCCCATCATAACGGCACCTGGACACACATGTTGAGGAACGCCCAGGTCCAGACACCTCCTGGTCCCAAACACCTGGCTTATCCTGGGCTTTGCTACCTTGCTTTGGGAATGGGCACTGTAAGGTGAAAATCGCCTGTGGACAGAGGGCGTGGGTGTCTCATTAGATATTCTCTGTGGTGAAAGGTAAGCTTTAAAAGATGAGTTTATTATTTTACTTTGCTAATAAGGCTGCAGTTGTAGCAAAATATAATGGAAGAAAACAACTTGACACGGCATAATCATTAAAAGGACGTGACATCTAGTCTTGTCAACTGCTTATTTACGGATCTTTCCTGACGGACTTCTTTTTGTATGGTAGTGGTTGTAAGTTGGTTAAGGAGATCTTTGAATAGGAAGGGAAAACACAGAACTGATGCCAAACTTTCTGGTTGGCTTCTATATAAATATTCAGTTTGGCTCATTGGGATTGTGCTCGTAATTATTTGACTTTGGCTCTAAGTGAATTAAGAGTCAAGGACACACACACACACACACACACACACACCTACTGATTATGGTCTGGGTGTTGGGTTTACCTTTCACAGATGAAATCTTACAGAATCTCAGACTTCAGCGTTAGAAGGGGCCTTTGAGACCAAACCACTGGTTTTTCAAATGAGCGTTTCAGTCACCTGCCTGAGTCCCATAGGTAGGTAATTGCAGTCTGGTACCCAGTGTCTCCTCTACTGCCCAGTCCGCTTGCTGTTTCTCAAGTAATTGATGGGTGCTAAATTATCCAAGATGACATACACATCTAGAACTTATCACGCTGGTATTCATCTAAATATCCACTATTAAAATGTAAATATTCCAGGGAGAGTTGTGCCAGGCTTGGTTTAATAAGTTGGGCTTTCAACTGACAGGAGGGATTCTCTTCTAAGGTAATTGGGAGTTGTTTCAGTTGGCTAAATAAAATGAAATATCACTTTAGATGGGTAGAAATGAGCCTAGCAAAGGCACATTAGTGTGGAGGAAGAGTCGTAAGGGATTGCTTACGAGGAGGCAGCAGGCCTTAGATTGTGGGAGCGCAGAGAGCAATTGAGGGGGTGTTAGAAGAGGAACTTACAGTGGTGGACACAGACTTTGGTACCTGCAGCTTTTCTGAGGGTAGACTGCTGGTGCCATTGTCACATGAGAGGGAAGCACTCAGGGCATTCCCTGCCCTGAATGCAGCAGGGAGGACATTGCTGTAGTTTTGTGGTTATAGGTCCCCTCCCTCACTAATTGTATGTTGGTCTGTTCCTCCTTGCTGAGCCAGAGCTAGACAATAGCTTTGTACTCCAGGAGTGCATTAAAAACCAAATGTACCTGCTCAGGATACCAAGTGAAAATGATCTTAACAGCTCCTCTGTTCTCAGTCATCCTCTTAGATTTCAGGGCATACTGGTGAGGAGCTCAGGCACGTGGGGGTGGTTTTGTGTGTTCACACAACTTGGGGAACCATCTGTTGTCATGAAATCAGCAAAGTCAAATGTGGATTCTTCAGGGACTCATTTAAAAAATCATTAGCCACAGACAGATTGACAACACACTGCATACAATTTTATGAATCTTGTCATGGGGAGCCTGTTACTTAAAGTGGTCTGAATTCATACCCATCTCGTTTTTGGTCTGCAAAGCTCATCTTGCTGTATTACTAGAGAAAATCTATTAAAATAGCCCAGCTATGTTTTAAAGAATGAAGTCAACCTGCAGTTACATAATATCTTACAGCCCTAGGGTTGACCAAGAAATAATTACATGGAGATGCCAAAAATATTTTTAAAAATAATTGCTCAAATTAATTAGTTTTCATTCTGTGGTGCTTATTTTAACACTTGGAACCTAGTTTTACAGTGGCAGAGCTTTGATCCATTCTTCTTTTTCCATTGGGTGGATAAGAACTGCTGAATGGGAGGGTAGGAGGCACACAGACGCTGACCCCCACCCACCCAGCCTCATGTCACTCCCCAGGTGTAAGGGGTGCTGTGCATTCAGTTTATGCTCTCCCGCAGGGCAACTATAAGGCACAGGAGTGTTGTTGTCCTTCTTTTGTATAGGGGAGAATCATTGGGTCAGATAACCCAGGGGAGCCAGGACTCAAGACTCTACCCTAGTGGAAGAAGATTTAGTCTTTTAACTATTAAGTAGAACATACTTTTAAAAAAAAGTGTATTCCTGCTCCTTCAGTTTGCTATAATTGTGAGGAGCCATGCATTGATAAACTGGTCATTCCTCACAAATTGCTAGTTTCCCAGTGGAACTGTTGTAACCTTTTGATGGCTTTTTTAATTGATGTGGAATATAAATAATTATGCTAGATTATGGTTTAATTAACACGACTTCTGCAAACTTCAGTTGTGTCTGTCCACTTTCTAAGTGGAACCTGTTATCATAGCTAATGAATTTATTAGAGTCCACAGCATCTGCCTGGATTGCTGTAGCCATATGGCTGTAGCAGCATTCAGTGGACAGTAGTCTATGTTAATCATGCTGGTACCTAAGGTTATACCAACTTCAATGAAACATCTCGAGGGCATAATATCTCAGTGTGGAGTTGTTTATTTCCGTATCCAAGAATACAGGCTTTTAAGATTCCACTATCGTTTACATGAACATTGACCAACAAAGACGATCAGAGAAAAGCAACAAATCAACCTCCGTGGTAGTAAGGCACAACCTGCATTTTGTGTTTTAAGAGTGGAAAGGGCTATGATCCACCCCTCCCCCATCTATTACAATAAAGAGTTGGCTATTTAACCATGTGGCATACTCCCTTCTTAACTGGTTACTAGTGTTACTGATGTAAAGTGGAATTGTTTTCTGTTATCCTTTAGGAGAGAGTGTTTCTCAGCGTGAGATTCTAGAGCCCCTTAGGGTGGTTTGTAAGCTGGAACAGAATTTATGTGATTACTTTGCACCTGGCATGAACCATACTTTACTGATACAGTTATTCAGAGATGAGTTCATGGATGTTTCAGCTTCATGTATATTGATGAACATATTTTTGGCAGATAAATAAAAGTAATCCCCAAGGTACCAGTGCATCTACAGATACACAGAACCACCAATTCTGGGACCAGGCAACTGCCTTAAGGGAAATGAATAGTTTTCTGGTTTTGGTGTAGAATGCAATACCTCTCTTCATTCAAACTGATACTTCTGATGTAAATAAAAAGGAGAAGATTGGAAGAAAGGTACATATGCACCTACCCGCCCTGCAGTCCCTTTGCTTGGGAATGTTTCATGCAGAGCAATTAGCAAAAAATGCTTTCCTCCCAGAGAGATGCTACCACCGGGAAACAGACTGGACATGAGCATAGAGGAGTAGCACAAAGAATGAAATGAGCACTTACAGATCAAAACATTACATAAGCATGTGTATAAATTTTAATGGGTTCCTGATGCAGTTTTATAGAAATAAATTTCATCTGTGAAAACCAGGTGTAGAACTCCCACAATAAGATGTCAGTGTCATCCCCAACACTCCAAGCTTTCCTTAGTTGCTTTCCTCTTCACTGCCTAGAGGGAAAAAAATCTTCATTTTAATCTGCATTTGGTAGCTATACAAATTATCCTATAAATATTTCAACATATTTGGTCCCAATATACTAGGATCACATGATTAAGGGTCAGAAAACTCAAGTGAATGGGGCAGGGGAAGTTATTGCTGTAGTACTTTCCTAGGACCACTGGAGGGCCTGGTCCCCCAGGGACCCTGCCCACCACTACAGGGAGAACTTCAGCACCTAGACCTTCATGACTGAAACTGTTCGAAGGTTTTTGGCCTGAGATGTACTGAAATGAATGTCTCCAAATGGATATGTTTCCACACTTCTATGCTTAAGATTTTTGTTTTAAAATAGATGAATAGATTTGAATTAGTGGCAAGTTTGAAAGCAAGTAATTTAAATCTTGATTTCAAATCTAGTAGGAAACCTCACACTCAGTTTTTCACTTTTAGGAGGAGGATTTTCTTAAGGCATGAGGTATGTCAATAGGGTGTTTGAATCTCTGGATCTGTCCTGGTGTTTCATCATACTCAAAGCACTTGGGATGTATGTATTTTGTTTAGATGAGCATATTCACATATTTTTTTTCCCTCTATACTACTGAACTATTCACGACACTTTAAAAAAGATAATTGGCAAGGAATCAGAACAATTAGTATCTACCCATCATCTAAAGTGATATTTCAGTTAATGGTCTATGTTTTCTTTTCCGAGTGAAGAAGTCTTTCCCCATGCTGAATCATTACAATTAGCTCCTTTATTCGTGATCCCTCACCCCTCCAATGGTTCATGTCCACATCAATGAGGAACATTCATACTCCCACCACGAGACATGTAAGCAACTGGTTCTGACGACATTGAAGCAGAGCACACACAGGTTAAAAGAAGCATAAGGATTAAGGATACAACCACCATGCGGAAAAAACCTTATGCAACCGATAGGGCCTGGTAGTGATCAGTTTTTATATTTTCTTCTTTTGAAAGAATAGGATGAACCCATGCTCAAAACCTTTCTAAAGCATTTTGAGAATACACTTTTTTTTTTTTTTTTAAATGTGGCACTTCAAAACAAATTGGCACAAAATGAAAGTGACATCTGGTCTCTGATTGGTGATGGAGCCATTACCTCCCCTCCCCCTGTCCCGTGGGCCCCGGGCTCAGGGCCCAGGGCGGTTTGCCTTGTTCTTGTTTTTCAGAACGCTGTCCTCGGAATGACTTGCTCCGGCGGCAGTGGTGGCCTCTAAAGGTAAGCCCTGCTGCTGGTAGCCGTAGTTGACATTCCCACAAGGGAAGTGACGCAGCCTGAACAGAGGCACCTCCTTCATGGTGGCAGTCAGCGAGGAGGGTTCCAGGAGCAGCGACGCCCCCGCGAGTCTGCCGGGAGCTGCGCCGGCAGGGACAGTACAGCGTCCCCTCTCCTGTGACTCCCTCTTGGCTGGAGGGTTGTTCTTTTTGGTGGGTTTCTCCGTAAACCAGGAGCCATAAGTTGGGTTCCACAAGCTGGTGGGCTTGTTTCTGGATCCCTGGACCTTGTGCAGCTCTGCTGGCGGGTGGGACTGAGAGAATGCCATGTTAACGTGTCCCCCTTCCGCGGCTGGCCCTCTGGGGACGCGCGCGGAGGCCTCGGCAGCGCCGGGTTTCTTCACAGCCTTCCCCGAGGAAGGGGCCGGCAGGGCGGGGGGCGCGGCTGGGGCGCGGTCCTCCCCGCGTTTGGCCTGCTGCGGGGACACCAGGAGAGGGGGCATCCCCTCGGGGTCTTTGGGCCTCATGGGCACTTTCTCCTCCTCTTCCACGAGCGGGCCATATTCTATGGGCAGCGCAGTGTTGATGACATCTGGATCCTATGGGAGGAGAGAGGGACCCATGAAAACCGAATCGCAGAAAATGTGGAGTCTGGACGGTACCCTAGAAGCCATCTAAACTTTAAGGCAAGGAGACCGTTCAGGATGCACTGAGAATATATTAATTCATAAGCCCTGAGAATAGGAACCGAATAAAGCATCGCCCTTGACCTTGAAGGCCTTGGAGGAGCCCACAGGGTGGAATTAGGAGCCAGAGCCAGCCCGGGTGCAGGGAAGCCCCGCGCTGCCTGGGGCAGGGGAGTGGGACTTTGCAGAGGAGGAGTCCATAACCCAAATTGTACTGATTAATGCATTTTTTAAAATTGTATTTTTAAAAAATTATTCTAGTCTATTCTCAATAAAATATTTCCAACTAAAAAGAAGTCTGTGTTGACCTCAAGTGTGTGTGTGCTGTGGGCAGGGGAGGAGAGTCAGGCTGTGGGCTCCTAGCCTCCTCCAGTTTCCTGCTACTTGAGTAGGTTTGCTTGATGATGACTTTCCCTGGTGTTATCACATCATTCCATGTGCTGACCTCACCATGCAGGGGTTTTTGACTGGTTTCTGTGAAGGGTCCCTTTTGGGCTCAGGAAGTACTGAAGTGTTATGAGGGAAACCATGTGCAAGAACAACTTTGTGCTAGATCATTTTTACAGCAATAGATTGTAACATAGAAAAGTAGAAGCAGTTGCTAGAGATTTAAGGGAAATTCGTGGAAGAAAACGTAACTCTGGGGGATTCTAATTCTTTAATGTTTCATCCAAATGGGGAAAAGGGCCTGTAACTTGAGTTTAACAGAAGAGCACATTGATTCAGTATTCATCAGAAAAAAAATAACTGTCCTTTCCATAGCAAGTAATTTAAAATATGCATGTGTAAAACTGCCCACTTTTGAGAGGGCTTTTATATATTTTGGAGAAAAATACTCTAGGGAAGGTATCTCTATTTAGGTAGATGTATTCCATTTGTGTTACAACATTGTAAACTGGTATGTCATCAAACAAGATTCTTTGACAGAACTCCAGTAACTCCACCAACGAAGCCCATCTACAGGAAGATGTCAGTTCACCCGCTGAGCTAAAAAGCCTGTGAGCGTGGGATGGTGGGGCTAGAAAGTGACTCTAGTTTGGAAAAGGTGTTTTATCTTTTGTCCCAATCGAGGGAGTTTAGAGAGGTGGTTGAATTGTTGGATTTTTCTGGAATATTTTCATCAATATTCTTGTTCTGGCAGAACAAGAGCCGCAAGAAAGAGAATGAAAGCAGAGAGCAGGAAGAGAGAAGATAACTTGATTATAATCCCCAGGGACAGTAGGTGACAGACACCGGGATCAGGAGGAGGCCTGGCGGGCGGGGTGTACAAATGGCTGCAGAGGTAGGCAAGTCTACACTGGGACAAGGAGGAAACTAGAATTCTCCTTCGATGAACTGTGTGCTTGATGAGGTAGGAGGCAGGTGTCTGCTAAAGATGAGTGGGGAGAAGGGAAAATTCAGTACGGGATTGGACAACCTCTCCTGGCCTGGCTCCTCCTCTGTGAAATGGGATGTCTTATGTCCCTCAATGAGGACAAAATGAAATACATGAAAAGTGATTTGTGTAGTCCAAATCTACACGAGTACTAGAGATGATGTTAAATTTTCTCCAGATTATTCTGAATTTTCATTCCCTTAATACTTCTAACTTGGACATATGAGTGAGCAATTGTACACTGTGATTTAGTTCACACTTTGTTATTTCTCCAGCCAGGCTATAAACTATTTGAGAGCAGGAGTGTTTCATCCTTCTTTGAAGCTCCAGTTTCACCTAATAAAACATTAGATCTCCAGCAGGGACTTAGTTAATATTTGTGAATTGAATTGATTTTCTACTACTACTGTCTGGCACTGTACCACATGCTGGTGAAGAAACTGGAAGTTACTAGGATTTATCGTATGAAATGGGCAAAATGAGACACCAGTCATTTCATTATAGAGGTGATGAATATTCATTCTCATGAGTATCAGTCTTGTTTGATCCTGACTGGTTTGCCTTTCATTTCCTACCTTTGTATTTGCTATCTTTAGGACTTTTCCATATAAAATTATTGCTGGTCAAGGGGAGAACATGTTTTTACCTGGGTACAGTATTCAATCCTCTCCAAAATTATGGCAAAGTTGGGCCTGTCTTCGGGCTGATGTTGCCAGCATTGAGTCATTATCCGGTATCTAAAAGAATAAGCAATTAAAGTCAGGAAGAGCACTTCCAGATGGGGTCAGAACTGGTACCTATCTTTTGAGGGTGGTAATTCATGTAGGACCCAGGTAGGCAGTATGTGCTGCCCCCTGCTGGTGGATTAGGGAATTAGCCTGACATGAGGTGTTAATATCAAAGCTCATTAACATAGACATCCTGGTGTTTATATCAAATGCTCATTCCTGAATTAGAGCCACTTCTGGGACAGAATATTCTATTTCTTATCTGCCTTGCTGATGGAAGGAGGCGAGGGATGCCAGATAGGAGAGTAGAAAACACAGCGAACAGGAATATTATTAAAGCAGACTCAGGATCTAGGGTGTAGGGGTGAATCTGGGACATGCGTGTCTAAGGAGTGTGGGCCTGGTGAGTCCTCAGCCTCTGGCCAGGATGGCAGTCTTGCCTCTGAGGGGCTGGAAGACTAATTATCTCACTGAAGTTACAGACAAATGCCTCTCTTGGGGCATCCTCCATTGAAGGTAGCCACATGCCCCTCCAGTTTAAGGAAGCATAGGAAGCTTCAGATACTTTTTAAAGGAAAAACTATGCTCAGGGGCTAGTAGAAGTGCCCTAAAAGAGTCATACACAGGCCCAGGGCAGTTCTTAGGTGGGTCCATCCGTCCTCCACTGGTGACGAACTCCAGGACTTCCTGGTTGCTTTTGCTGGGGTATGGCATGTACCCCAGGGAAAAGATCTCCCACAGCAGCACTCCGAAGGACCTGGGCATGGACAGAAGACACGGGGACGGGTGTGGACATGTGTGCACATGCACACAGGTTCAAAATTTTAATCTCTTTCCCCATTATACCTTTATCTATAATAGAGGAATCTTAAGATAGAAAAATGAAAGGAATGAGAAGTACCACATATGATGCTCTATGGAAAGATAACTGCTGCCAACATGTGACTTTTATTTTGGTCGAATTTATGTTTTTGTTTTCTTACCTAATTGCAATTATATTTAATATGTAATTTTGAACCTTGATGCTTTTGCATATTTTGTTTTAGCAAAAACATTTTCCATGCTAATTTTGTGAACAAAAATTTAAATGATGATAAAGTAGTCCATTGAATAATTTGGCCTTAATTTGCCTTATCATATTGCTTTCAATTTTCAAAATCCTTTATTAATTAGTTAATTAATTTATTTATGGTGCTGAGAATCGAACCCAGTGCCTCACATGTGCTAGGCAAGTGCTCTACCACTGAGCTATAGCCCCAGCCCACAACTTTCAAGATCTTTAACTCCATGATGAACATCTTTGTGAATTTCCAAAAGGAGGATTTATTTAGGATTAATTCTCTGATTTACTACATTAGAATAATAGTAAAATAAAGAATAATTCTAGTACAAGTACATCACAAAATACAAACATTGAAACATTCTTGATACATAATGTCGATTTGATTCTTAATGTTTCACTATTCATCTGTCAACATTGAACAAGAGTATAGCAAACACTCTCATCAACACTGAATATGCTTGTTAACAATGAGGACTTTTACTGACTTCAAAGCAAAAATGGTGAAATGTCTTAAATTATGTTTATTGACTTGCTAATTAACACGGGGGAATGTCTTCCTAAGTGTTTATAAATCCAGTTCAGTTTTTCACCCACAAAGTGTCTGTTCATGTCTGTTGCCCATTTTTATCTACTGGGACATATTATTTTGGTATCAATTTTGGTACCTAAAAGTGAATTGTAGACATTCTTTTTATGTATCTGAGATGTTAACCTTTTATCAAAAATTCAAATACTTCTCTGAGTTGCTTTCTAACCCTACTTTTTTAGCATACCAAAGATTTTCATTTTTAGGTAGTCCAATCTATTTATAATTTTTTTAGGATTTCCTTCATTTAATTTATAGTCATACAATCCTTCTTTCACCAAAGATTAGGTAAACACTTGCTGCTCTTGTTGAGTTTGTTCTTTCCTATACTCAAATTAGGTTGAAATTTAATCTTGACTAATGATACATCTTTTCTAGGCCTAATCATTTCATCTCCTTGTCTGCTTCTCACATAGATACCATTCTGTTTTACTGTTTGCATATTTTTTCCCCTCCATCTGGTAAGGCATTTTTCTCTTCTTTCTTTTTTTTAAAAAAATGTTCAAGTTCTTGGGGCTGGGGTTGTGGCTCAATGGTAGAGCACTTGCCTTGCATGTGTGAGGTAC